TGTAGAATTTCAACACATTCCAACATTAGATGCCGAGCGCGACTATCAGGTGCGTTCAACATGGTTTACTTTCTTAATTTCTTGGTAACCGAATCGAATACACATTTATTTTTCAATTCTAGGAAGCCTGTGAAAGGGTTATGGCTTTTCAAAAAGAAGTTTTGAAAAATAATTTACAATTGAATGAGGAAACATTAGATACGTATCAAAATTTGCTGACGGAAATGCGAGGAGCTCAAGATACGTTATATCGGCTTCGATGTGATTTAGAAAAACATAACCTTTTTGACAATAGCGACGAAACCGACGAATATCTTGGATTTGAATCACTCATGAAGATTGTCACGAGTAGTTTTCATTGAATCCGAATGCAATGGTAATCGTTAAGGAAAACGAGCTGTGGACAGCACCAAACTCAATGGCAGTTGGTACAAATTATGTCTCGGATTCCTTCTTGTTGTCTTGTAATAACACTATTTTGAAAATCAAAATCCACTCTAATAAAGTGCATTGTTTGGGCATTAATGATTCTGTTCAAAATCCATGTGAATTTGTTTTTGCCTATATGGAATGTGGAGGTTAACACAATAGCTTAGACGGATCAGAATAAAGGTTATAAAGGAATCTGCCTCAGTTTCAAGCATCGACTCCTCAGTAGAGCACAATCTCTCACCATTTGGTGACCTTTGGTATAGCAGGATTCATTATAAGGCCAATCCTCGAAGGTTAGGTTAATCGAAAAATTTAATTACACCTCCCCCTAATCCATTTCCTTAATTGTGTAAATTAAAAATGTAATTTTTGAAACTGATCTTGCTTCATTCACCTTTTCTCTAGCTTAATTTAAATTTCTTCCATGACAAACGCCATTGTTGAAATTCAGGCAAGGGTGTTATTAAAGCGTTCATCAATTTATCCATCGCAAGTGGAAGTGTAGCTAATAAACTCTTCATGTTTTTAAAAACATTTTCTTGCGTATAAATAGTCAAATGCGCTTTCCACTATTGTAGGCAAATGGCGAATAACAGGAGAGAATGTTGATGAGTTTCATACTTTATTCAGCTGGTTAGGACATTTTTTAACAACATTCCTGATTTCCTATGTATATGGCGCACTCCATATTAGGCATATATATCTTCGTGGGTCAGTGCATAATTAGGTATTTCAGTGGTTTATATGCAAATCTTAATCCTCAAAGTCTAAAGTAAGTCGTTCTACTGGAAGTTTCTTTAATTCTACCATTAATCTTCGATTTGAGCAGGTATTCAGCCATTCGGTTCGTGGTTTGAATAGCTAAAATTCAATATTTCAAAGTGAGTAATATGCCCCGTTAAATAAAGAAACCTAGTTCACATTAAGATTTACATTTCGAGGATTCTTTCTATGTTTCCAAATTTCGGCGACAGCGAAGAGTGGAATGGGAACAATGGAGACGAGGGCAATGCACCAGCCAAGAGCCACCGTCCACTGGGGAAATGGTTGTCCATTCGAGAAAATTGGGGGAGTGTGGTCCATTATAACCGTAACGAATAGGTAGAGCATGAAACAAGGCGTGACAAAGTACCAAGCTGTCAGCAAAAATATTTGAGATATCTTCCATTGTTGACCAAGCATTGTTTCAGCGCTTCTGAAGAGACGCTTAGCTCCTACACAAAAAGAATATTCCTTTTTAACACCGAAACGATTGCCTCCATAGATAGCTTCAAAAAATATATTTGCTCCTACTCCCTCCAAATTTTATTTATTTATATCAAATGGCAGGCATTTTGATGGTTATCATTAGCCCTTTAGTTGACTTCAGGCTTCACAGAGGGGTAGAAACATCAAAGTGAAAAAAGTCAAGAGGAGGGGCACTGAAGAGAGTTTCAAAGACGAATGTTCAAAATTTAGAAAAAATGTGATAAAGTACTGTGGAAGTGGTCGAATATGTCATACAGTGGGGTCATGGTAGTTTGAAGTCAACTGCCAGGTAATAGACTTTTTTACAGTATGAGTATACGTTGCCCAGGGTGCACCACGTGGAGGTAAGTCTATCGCACACCCCACTCCCACCAAATTAAAAAATGCGCTTCTTTTATTAGATAAAATGGTCCATTTAGATAGCCTCATTATGCCGTAAGGCATTCAACTTTTGGATAAAGTCCCCTCCATCAGATTCTCCATCTGCTTTGGAATACGTATGAATGTAGTGGGTGACTAATCAACTAAGTTGAAAATTACTTCTAATAATTAAGGTCATTGTGACCGATTTCTAGCGCCATGCACTTGAGTAGTTGGAATGGAATAGACGTTTAGACTAGGATAAAATGCTATGGACCACCTAGTGAAATTCGCGAATTCAAAAAATTCGGTTTTGGCATGTATTAGATTGAATTGAACAAAAATTGCTTTCCTTGTATTTTAACCACATTGTGTATACCCGCGATGCATCGAAATATTTGGCCCGCCATGCAATTGAAATAATCAATCATAGCTATCAAAATCATCCCCAAAATAGGAGGAAGAGTAGCCGTTTCTGACTAATTAGCTTTGAAATTCGGGGGGTGTGTGATAGACTTACCTCCACGTGGTGCACCCAGGGCAACGTATCAATAGACTTACCTCCACGTGGTGCACCCTGGGCAACGTATATTCATACGGCAAAGTCTATTAACTGGTAGTTGACTTCTCCGCATACGGCAAAAAAGTCTATTAACCGGCAGTTTTCTTCTCACTTCAAACTACCATGACCCCCCTATATGTCCTACATTCTCATACGGCAAAAAAGTCTATTAACCGGCATTTGACATGACTTCAAACTACAATCACCCCACTGTATGTCAAATTCGACTACTTGACTTCAAACTACCATCATCCCACTCTATGCCATATTCGTAAATTCGACCACTTCAACAGTACTCATCTTACCTTTTCTCTTCGACTTCTCACTTCAAACTACCATCACCCCACTGTATGTCAAATTCGACCCCTTCCACAGTACTCACCTCACCTTTGCTCTACTGTCGACTTCTTCCACAGTACTAACCTCACCTTTTTTCTACCTATTTCTCACTTCAAACTACCATCACCCCACTGTATGTCATATACCTCTGACTTCAAACTACCATCACCCCACTGTATGTCATATTTCACCACTTCCACAGTACTCACCTCGCCTTTTTTCTACCTTCAGTTGACTCTGACCCCACTGTATGTCATATTCGACTAAGGCAGTTGACTTCTCACTTCAAACTACCATCACCTCACTTATGTCATATTCGACCCCTTTCACAGTAATCATCTTACCTTACTGTGTCATATTCGACTACTTCCACAGTACTCACCTCACCTACAGTTGACTTCTCACTTCAAACTACCATGACCCCACTGTACGGTAGTTGACTTCTGACTTCAAAGACAAAAAAGTCTATTGATCGGCAGTTGACTTCTGACTTGCAAAAAGTCTATTGATCGGCAGTTGACTTCTGACTTCAAACTACCATCACCCCACTCTATATCATATTCGACTATTTTTACAGTACTCACCTCACCTTTGTCCATATTCGACCATTTCACAGTACTCACCTCACCTTTTTTCTTAAATTCGACCACTTCAACAGTACTCATCTTACCTTTTCTCTTCGACTTCTCACTTCAAACTACCATCACCCCACTGTATGTCAAATTCGACCCCTTCCACAGTACTCACCTCACCTTTGCTCTACTGTCGACTTCTTCCACAGTACTAACCTCACCTTTTTTCTACCTATTTCTCACTTCAAACTACCATCACCCCACTGTATGTCATATACCTCTGACTTCAAACTACCATCACCCCACTGTATGTCATATTTCACCACTTCCACAGTACTCACCTCGCCTTTTTTCTACCTTCAGTTGACTCTAGCTACCATGACCCCATTGTATGTCATAATCGACTACTTTCACAGTACTCATCCCACCTTTTATCCACCTTATCTACCTTCGTCTTTGATGCACTTTTCTGTCCCCCCCCCCTCTTGAATTTTTTACACTTTGATGTTCCTTCCCCTCTGTGAAGACTGAAGTCAACTAAAGGGCTAATAATAACAATCAAAATGCCTGCCATTTGATATAATAATAATAAGCTTTGAAATCGTCCTTCAGCCCTCAAAATATATGCCATTTTACCTGTGAAGATTTCAATTTCTTGAGAGAATACCTTAGTTTGTAATAAATTCTTTCTACCTTAACTGAATGGCTCTTTAAACTCATCTAAAAGAAAAATTGACAACACTCGAGTATTGGAAAATATAGTTGTTTACGGAGGCTATTAAGCTACCAACTGGCATATTGACTACCCACAGCTTTCGTTGTGATGGACCAACGAGCATCGATCTCGTCTTTTCCAAGGGCTTGCTGGACTGCTCTATGTCACAGATTGCTTGATTCCCTGATGTGAGCTCGAGATATCCGCCTTAGGTCTCTCGTTTTCTCACCGTGGGCTTACGGACTTTATTTTTTATTCAAAATCGTGTATAACCTCTCTCAGAAGCATGACTACATTCGCCTCCTCCCCTATGGTTGTTTCTAAATTTCTTACCATTGACAATCAACGGGAATTAATGATAGACCAGTTATTATAAGGAAGCCTAACTAATCAATCCACTATACTCGAGCATAGTATTTCATTGAACTCTTGTTCACACTATTGGTTTCGCCTCACATACAAGATAAAGGACTCTGGACGGCAAAATAGTGTACAATTTCATCAATCAACCAACTAGGCATTAATCCACTTCACAATCAATTAACGCAAAGCACCGATCAACCAAGTTTGTATACTAACAACCAGAAAAACGTTGACTTAAAACCAAAATCGAACTTATAGAGGTATAAAATAAAATAATTAGTTTTAAATGATTCGCTTTACCATATACGAAGGACAAGCTGAACACTTCCACAGTAGCTATAACCACAATACTGTTTGTCGTTGCGTACCTGTCGAAAAGTTGGAAATAATACCTTCCGGCCTAAAATAATTAATCAGATTAAGATTTAATTATAAGTTGCAATTTCTAATAATGCAAAAGATTCTCGCATAGAATCAATACATTAGATAGTATTATACGACGTGGACGAAAATTTGACTTCAGTGGGTTTATTAACATTGGTCTATAAATCATGGGAAATGCTATTTGACCATGGAGAAATCTTTATTTGACCTTCTATTACAAATCCTCTTTTAGAATGTTTTCTCTTGTCGAGAACACAATTTTAGTAATGACAAAAGCGAAAGCCCCTCGGCCAATCAATGGCCAAAGCCAAGACGGCCAATCAACGGTGAAAGTCAGTAGGTTTTTATCCGACCAAACCATGGTTAAGGCCAGTATGTGGTTATCATGCCAGAAAATTCGGCGTTTGTACCTCATCATACCGAATAAAGGTACTATAGTTTAACTAAATCTGGGAGCCTTTCCAAGGCCCATTAGTATAGCAATCCGCTACATTCTTTAGTTTCAACAGAATGAATCTCCAAGGTGAGTTTATCTATTACTATCGAAGATAAGATTTTAACATTCTTCCAATTAACGTTATCAAGGTTATTTAGGATATTATGACTATGAAGGCAAGGGAGTATAAACAAAATAAGGGGAATAAACTTAAAAGTTAAAGACAAACAAAGTGCAAACCTACCCTTGTTACGAGTACACAACCTAGGAAGAACTGTACAATACATATACAGAGGATGAACAAAGATTTGTGTCGGCCGAACGCTCGTGGAAAGCGATCATTGAAGCCACCTATTATAGTCGCCATAGTTGCAAACTGAAATTGAATCAGTGAAACATTACCCTTAATTAATCCAATCATTCGGAAGTTGTAAATGACAATAAAAATTCTGAAACGAATTCTAAACTAATGTTAATAGTTAATACGAATAATAATTAATAAAATATAGTTATTTTAAAATACTATTTGTGACCAGTTAGCTAATATTCAGAAGGCTCCTTAATCCCACCCCTTATCGACCACATTAAGCATAGAGGCTTCTGATAACTGACTGTGTACGAACAAATGTCTATTTTGTAACTTTTGATAATGCAGTCAGTCACGCATCAAGGTGCCAAAGCTTTCTTCGATGGAAGCAACCAATGTTTCTCTGGTAGGTAGGAGCTGTCTTAGCCAAAAGAGAGAGAGATGGGTTAGACGGGGCGCCTAAAATGTCCAATTGATTTGTTTCAACGATTTCTACTCCAACTTCCTGTCTTCCTCATTTTGATTTCGTACATCCCTCTTATATTTTATTAATTAAAGGCAAGATTGTTAAAATTCCTTTATTTTCTTGATCAAACTTTGCGATCTGAATCCCTTGGTTACTATCTGTAATAACGTAACATGAGTTCATGTTAGAATAGTGAAAATTGTTAAATAATA